ATTATGAAGTAACAAAAAACCTATTTATAAAAAACGTTAAAGTACCTAAAAGGAATTAAATTTCCTTTTAAATATTTTTTTTAAAAGCAAATCCAAAATATCTAAAAGGAATAAATATTCCTTTTAAATATTTTTTAAAATCAAAACAACAAAACCAATTCAAGACACAACACGAATCCGAAAACGATAGCCAAAAAAATCGAATCAACTTAAACCAAATCACGAAACAAATCGCAGAAAACCGAAATCGAAAGCAGTAGTCCATATAAATATAACCAACGATAAAAGAAGCAAGTGTATAGGTACCGTATACACTATCTATACTATTAATATTCCTTTGAAATATTGTTAAACAACGAAAACACATTCACGATTCTAAATAATCAAAATCCAAAATCAAAGCCAGAGTCTAAATATGTATAAAGGAATACCAACCAAATCAACAAAACCGATCCAAGAAAATACACAAATCCGAAAATGAAAGCCAATCTTAATCCATTCAAACTTAACCAAATCACAAAGCAAATAACAAACAACCGAAATCGAAAGCAGGTAGTCGAATAAGCTAAGAAATAGAAAAATTTAAGCGTATAGGTACCGTATGCACTATAAGTTGACGCGCGGCTCAACGGCGGGAGTTAAGTACATGGCAGGAAACATTTCGTTACCGCGTTTTAAAAACCTAGTAACGACATCTATCGGAATCAATTTAAACTATATATACGTTATTTAATAAGAACTCTCAAAAATATTTTTCTTATAATTTTGCACAATTTTTCTTATTGTTATACCGATTCATTCATAACCACATATAAGAACTGTATTCATTTCTGTTCAATAAATATTACTAAGGCTTATTAATAAGGCTTACTAAGAACTGTTTCTACCACAGTTAAGTAATAGTTAAGGGTGAAAGCGTGACAGGTGGTGATAGTATTTCTGATCCATACTTATAATCACGCCTGTAACCCTTGCGGGGTAGGCAGAGCATCAACGGATTACTTAATATCGTCTGCGAGGTTATCGCTTATTCTGTGAATTACATTGCACCAAAACGTTTGAAGAAAATCAGCTGGTGAATTTTATGTTTTTTATCGCTCTCTTCCCGGGACTGCGTGGAAAAATACAGATCCATACATTTTTTATCTTAATTTTGGTAAAAAGACATAATAATCCAGATATTCTGACCTTCTGTGTTCGTCCATCGTACCGTCGTCTGTCTTGTAGAAATATGGTGGCGCCACCTAGCTGATTTAAATTTTGCAACATATTCGATTTTCCCACGGGAATGATATGTTTTTCTGCTGAAAAAAGCAGAAAAACATATCATTAGTAGCCTATGTCACTCTACAGCCACCGAACTATCCCCATACAAAAAATCATGCCATGCCGACGCTCTGTTGCGACGTGAAAGAAGGACAAACTTGTGCAACATATTCTATTTTCCCAAAGGAATGAGATGTTTTTCCGCGGAAAAAAGTAGCCTATGTCACTCTACAGCCACCGAACTATCTCCATACCAAAATTCATGCCATGCCGACGCTCTGTTGCGACGTGAAAGAAGGACAAACTTGTGCAACATATTCCCGTTCCCGTTCCCGTTCTGTTCCCGATGTTTTTCCGCGGAAAATAGTAGCCTATGTCACTCTACAGCCTCATTCCCGTGGGAAAATAGAATATGTTGCAAAAGTTTGTCCTTCCTTCACGTCGCTTAAGAGCGTCGGCATGGCATGAATTTTGGTATGGGGATAGTTCGGTGGCTGTAGAGTGACATAGGCTACTTTTTTCGGCGGAAAAACATCTCATTCCCGTGGGAAAATCGAATATGTTGCACAAGTTTGTCCTTCTTCACGTCGCAACAGAGCGTCGGCATGGCATTCGATTTTCCCACGGGAATGAGATGTTTTTTCGCGGAAAAAAGTTACCTATGTCACTTTACAGCCACCGAACTATCCCCATACAAAAAATCATGCCATGCCGACGCTCTGTTACGACGTGAAAGAAGGACAAACAAACAAACAAACAAACACACTGTTGCATTTATAATATTAGTATTAGTATGGATTTCAAATGAGTTCAAACACGATCGTCCTATCTAGAACCGTCACTGAGATCCTGAAAACACCTCCGAATTGCACCATCAGAAAGGTGCGATCATAATAGTCACTTGGGTCTTTATGAGCGCTTTTAAATAAGTTCAAACACAAACGTCCTATCTAGTGCCGTCTCTGAGACCCTATACTCATCTTCGGATTGCAACATTCTAAAGGTGAAATCATCACAGTCATCTAGGTCTCTATGAGTACCTTTCAAATGAGTCTAAAACAATGGTTCAATGAAGTGACGTCACTGAGATCCTAAACCCACCTTTGGAGTCCACCATCAGCTAGGTGATATCATCACAGTCATCTAGGTCTTCGTGAACCTTTTTGAAAATGTGTTGAAAAAGACACGATGGTTCTACGTAGCATAACTGAGATCCTTTACCCACCTTCTGAGTCAATCATAATGAAGGTGATATCATCACAGTCACCTTAGTCTCCATCCTTCGTCAACGAAATTCTCTAATTATATAAAACAATAAAAAATCTAAACAGCATAGAAATACCGTAAGTAGCTACTAAGAAAGTAAGTACTTACCAGTAATTAAAACGAATTGAAGTCAGCGGATTACGGTGCGTCCGTAAAACTCCGTGGAGTGCCATTAGTTAAAAATTTCAACTTAATGTTTCACACTCACGATCCGTTTTTGGATGTACAACAGTTCGACTGAGCAGTTTCAACTGACAGTAAGCCCGAAAAAATCCGTGGGTTGTCATCAGTTGAAAATTTCAACTTAAGATTCCACACTCACGGTCAGTTTTTGGATGTACGTCAGTTCAAGTGATCATTTAACTGACCGTGTGTGACGTCCATAAGGTGCAATTCAAAAGAAGTAAAACACAGAAATAGCATTTTAAGTTTCTTCAGTTTTAATCGTATATTTTTGTATCTAATTTTTAAAATGGCAATCTAAAACAACGTGAAGGAAAGAAACAGCGATATCTTTTCTCGATTTTATTTTTAGTCGCCCAACCCAACAAAGACAAAATTATAATTGTTTGCCTTACCTTTAAAAGTAGAATAATATAGAATTCTATATCTAATTTGTGTGCAAATTTCTTAGATTCCATACAAAGACGGCTCACCTTGCCCACCATGAAATATAACAAATATTACACCTCATTCCAAAGAGGCACTGCCCTGGTGAGACAAAAAGTTGTGGATGTGACCCAAAATGAATCATGAGCGTCGACAGACTCGTAATTCACACAAATTTCCTTCCGCTATTTATGGCAAGTTATAAGCAGTGTTGTCAACTTAGTCGATTTCCCACTAAAACTGGTGGTTTCAAAATATATTTTTATATTATACCAAGAGTATTTACTTTTAATGTGTAGACAATACAATTTAATACAATTTGCCGGCTCCGTGGCGAAGTGGCTTAGCTATGAGTTGCAGCGCTAGGGACCACGGGTTCGATCCCGCACACACTTACATGTTTTAGAAATAGTGTGGTTTGCATTCAGCCATGTTTCATCCAGGCTCCAACAACATCCAACAACAGCACTTTATCCCAATTATCAATATCTATCACTTTTCGTAAAAAATCTATGCGTGGAAGAGCATTGTCGTTACAATCCATAATATTTTTTCTTTTGTTCTAATTGAATCCATTTTTTTAATATTGTTGATAAATATGTTAGGAGCTCCCACTGAAAAAATTTGCATCTTTCAGAGATAGTGCTAATTCTGTTATGTTGGCATAGATGTGATTACGAATTGCTGCGGCGTGAAAATCGTCTATGTCAGTTACAGGGCAACGTTTCTTTCTCTTTTTATATGGAGTAGATAACTTATTCTCATGAGTATGTATCAAGAGATATATGTAGAGTGATGTATCTCCAAATTTTTCTTTGCTGATTTTAGTCACAGTAGCTTTTCCAATTTCAAGAGCTTCAGCAACTCGGTCATATACTTGTGACACTGGCAACAGCGGTCTGCAATTTTGGTATTCACTTTCAAAATAGTCGCGCAAACTACAAATACACTACAATCACAAACTCAACGGATTCGCTATTTAAAACAGTTTTCTGTTTTTTTTTGGCATTGTAACAACAAAAAGGCAATAACAACACAAACAACAATAACAAAATAGGAAACAACAAATACTCAAAATAACGAAATAAACGAAAACTGGGGAACACAAAGCGTATACAAGACGTCTGGCGTCGACACTCGTATAATATAATATAATTATAGGTACTGACTAGCTTGCTACATATCTATTTATCTATGGTTCATAAAAGATAGCTTGATCTCTGCGACAGCTGTCAGTAAAATCACGCCAATGAAGACCTGAATTTCTTAAGCGGGCTACATACGAGACGATATCGGTGGCGATCTAGGGTGGAAAGAAATCGGGGCTTTTATCGAGGCAGACCCTACATTTATTTATTTTACTATTTTATATTATTTTACCCATTTATTTATTTTACCAAAATATTTTCAACATTTTTACTACGCAACGAGGGTCTAGTTAAATTGGACGTATACGTGACGCGTCACTATCCATCCTTTTTGCATTTACTACAAACATGTATGTCTGTCTCTCCTTATCATAATTAGCCTCGTGATGCTAATGAGTAGTGCGGTGCGGTGTATTTATTTTGTATTGTCGATAATTATCCACAAAATGATTATTGTATTTAGATATCTTTTTTTTTTTGGATATTACATATAGACAGATACATAATTTATTAATATTATATATATATATATATATATATATATATATATATATATTATGTTTAACTTGACCCTCTTTGCGTAATAAAAATGTTGAAAAATTGAAAAATGGTAAAATATAGAAATTTACTTACCGATGAAAAGTAACATTGTTTGTTGTTACACTACATGCTTTATTATTGTTTCCGCACCATTTAACAGCACAACAGGACATGATGCCGAAAATTGATTTTAATTTATATATTACATGTAAGCCGTCTCTTCGTTTCTAGTTTTTGGTCGGAACTGGCGGGAAACAAAAGTGTTCCGAAATATATCAGTGACTAGTCACTGACGAGTTGAGAGGTTCGGGTCGCCTTGTATTACGTTTCTATGGGGTTAAGTGCTCGTTGTATAGCGATTACATTTAAGTAGGGAACTTTAAGGTACTCTAAGTAAGATGCTCATGTTCAGCAGTGGAGAGTTAAAAGGCTGTAACCTACGAGCACTTAACCCTTTACAGAAGAACAAATATTCGCGGAGTTTACACATCATCAATTTTACGCCGAAGAAACCAATCATATTATTGATTTAACGAAAAATGTAATGAAGAAATATATCGACACAAGAATGACATTTATACTTTAAAATCAAAAATTAGAAGGAAAACGTGCAGTTAGGAGAATATATACTAAATTAATTTTTATTTAAAATTCAATAATAGTACTTAGTAATATAAATATGATAAATAAATGTGAAAATCTTTTTTATTCTCTTTTCAACCTCTGTGTACTGCCTCGTAGTGCCTCGACCTTGAGCCGAACTATCTTGCGTATCTCCTAAGGGGACTTTTTTATAGGGTATGGTGTCAAACGAGCGCACAGTATACCTGATGGTAGTGGTTGCTGTGGCCCATAGACATCTACATCTATCCGCGATTACAAATCTAAATGCAGATGCGTAGTCACACATGGGGACCAAGATAGAATGCCTCGTTTCCAGTAAAAAGGGTCGCCGGTTCTCTACACTCACCATACGAAACACAACATTAAGCTACTATTTTACGCTGGTATTCTGTGAGAGTGTGGTTCTTCCCCGGTCGAGCCGACCTATTCATGGTACAACTATACTACTAATATAACTGCAGCATGGCTCTACCACGTATTAAATATTTTAATTTTTTATGTTAAAGTTCAACAAATCACTAAAAGTTTATTTTAAATTCCTTTAATTTAATCTTGATTTGTTTTCGTAGTTGGAATTCATATTTTACCTGATAATACTGCTTGAAAATGTTAGTACATTTAAAATTGCATTCCTTAGTTGCACAGAAAAATTGAAGTCGTAGTCAAAAGCTAGTTACTGATACTGAAAGCATGTATTAAAAAGCGAAAAAATTTATCAATTTCGATAGAAAGCATAAAGTCATTACAATGCACGCCCTAGCGATCGTGTCCGGAATCTCTTCGGAATAGTTCGGAGTACTTCGCAGCGATCACAACTCCCCCCGCACCGTAACTAGTTGACAAAATTGTTTTCTTTCAAATTCGCATGTATTACTTCTCTATAGGGTTAAGTGCTCGTAGTACAGATACTACTACCTGTCAATGTCATACTTTATGGGCATGCCGACCTAATTAGTGCCGCCATCTTGTTTGATATGAACCTCCATTCTCTTCAGTACGAGTGCCGACGCCTTGTATACGCTACGTGTTTTCCGTTCTCATTACTTTGTTTTTGTTATTATTGCTGTTATTGTTTGTTAATTTGTTGAGTTTTGTTATCTTTTGTTATTATTGTTAGTTTCTTGTTGGCATAATGCCAAAGAGAACGAAGAAAACCGTTTTGAACAGTCAAAGTCGTGAGTTTGTGATTCGCTTACGTGAATATTTTGAGCGAGAGAACCAAAATGGCGGGCCGCTATTACCCATAGAGAACTTATGTGATAGAGTTGCAGATGCTCTTGGTATTGGACATGCGACAGTAATTCGCATCAGCAAAGAAAAGTATGGCGAATCTTCAACCGCAGCATTGACTGAAGACAAGGCTAAAAAACTTGCAACAACAAATAAAAAAAGGAAAAAGGCTGCTCCTGTCACAAACATTGACAACTTTGACACCGCTGCGATTCGCAACCATGTATATGGTCACTATACACGGGGCGAATTGCCTACGTTGAAAAAACTTGCCGCGTCCCTCAAAGACGCAGACTTGTTCAAAGGAAGCTTGCCATCTCTAACGAAGTTATTGAAAAATATTGGTTTTTCCTATAAAAAAGTGACAAAAGAAAAATTATTATGGAAAGAACCGACATTGCTCTTGCTCGAGTGAATTTTCTCTGAAAAGTCAAAAAAAATCACAAATTGGGACAAAGTAGTGTTTCTAGGCGAGACATGGCTAAACGCCAATCATACCTTATCCAAAGCTTGGACTGATGATACTGCACAATCAACCACCAAAGTACCCGAAGGCAAAGGTCAAAGATTAATCATCACTCATGCTGGGACGTCATCTGGTTTTGTGCCTAATTGCCTATTGGCATTCAAATCAACTAAAATTATTGAATACCACGTGGAAATGAATTTTGAAAAATTTAAGGAGTGGTTTTTAAAATTATTAGATAATTTAAAGGAGCCACATTGCATTATTATGGATAACGCCCCATATCACTCGGTCCAAAAGCACAAACCACCAACTTCGGCAAACAGAAAATTAGAAATCATTGCATGGCTTCAAGACAAAGGAATAGAGGCCAATGAAACTATGCTTAAAAATGAATTATTAAGACTCGTTGGTCTGCACAAACCTAGTACTCCAACGTATGTCTTAGATGATATAGCCCACGAAAAGGGTCATACCGTCATAAGACCACCCCCGTACCACTGCCAGTATAATCCGATCGAGTTTATCTGAGCCCAAGTCAAAGGTTTGTTTGCTTGAATTTCAGTTAGATAGGTACTTTAATTATTAACTACTGTTTAATTAATCTTATTAAAAATATGTTTTCTTTTAAGGTTACGCTGCCAGATACAACACAACACCGCCTTTCACGGCAAATAAAATGTTGCAGTTATTAAAAAGTAGGTGGTAACCAAATGCAGAAAACTAATGGAAGAAGATTGGGAGCGGGACGTCTGATTTGATAATATTTGCGAACAAGAGTTTATAATAAATTTACAAGATTGTTCTAGCGATTCAGAAACTGATTCAGATATGGATTTGGTACTTCTTTAAGAGAATAAATGCATTTTATATTAAAAATATTCGTTTAATTTAGTAACGTTTGTAATTAAATTAAACCCTATTATTATATGTTAAATTAGCATCGATAATAGTAAGAAACATCGATAATTTCTATCGAATTTTTTTTATATCCTGACATCCCTAGGAATGTCAGTTTGACAGGGTGCCAACTTCATGGACCTTAAATTACTCTACTCTATGCTGACGCTCAAACAAAATGGCGGCTCATTGTGCTCAGTGCTACCTTTCTGTATATATTACTCTACTCTATGGTGCTACCAATATAAAAAACGAACGAATGATAATTATTGTTTTGAAAGGAAACATTTTTCTGAAAAAATAATTAAAATAAATTTATTTTAATTTAATAAATTCACATTTGTCGATTTGTCGGTTCCCACTGAATAGAAGTAGCAAAACATGTAACTTGTACCAGAACTAGTGTCGCCAAACTCACACATTCGTAAGAAAGCTGAGTGTACCGACAATCCATTTCAATCATTTTCACGTGATTGGCTATTCAAAAATCAAAAAGAAAGGCATTATGTTACTCGCGATGCATTTAAGTACGAACCATAAGTTCTACAAAATAAAGATCATATTCCTTTTCATCAAAGAAGTTCGTAGAATTAATGATCAAATTCAGCGTAAAAACGTTAGATGTCGTAGTAATACCGCGATTATTTAAAAATGCATCATAAAATATTAACAATAGATATCATTATGTCTTAATCCAAATATCTTCTGAGATTGACGAAAAAAAATTGCTACATTACGTCGCTAGATGTCTCAATAATAAATTCACACTATTACAAAATCTTGTGGTACACTGAAAAAGAATACTGGGCACAATGTAAATGGATATAAGGTTAACTTTGCCGTATCTGATCCACTACTGCTACGTGCATAATACATACACATACACTGCCCGAATGTGATTTGAATTGTCGGTATTCAGTCAATATTAAAGTATGTAAAAATCTATGATAAAATGAGTAAAATAACAAAATTTATTGGAAATTACCTTAATGTACTGCATATATTTCTGGAATTCACATAGCTGGCATATAACTAGTTGACTTTGATGGAAATATATTAGTAATAGTGAGTTAAATATTCATTTTTTAAATGAAAATAAACAGTATAATAAAAAATACTCAAAATTATTGTTTATTGTCCTTGAAATAATAAATATTAATTTAAAAATTGACGTTCTTATAATAAAATTAGATAATAAGTTGCTGACATAATGCGTGATTTTTATGAGAATATCATTTTTATTACAGCTTCTTTCCAAAAGACATGAATAATACTAAGCTATTTACTTACTTCTCTGGTAAATAACCCTAATAAAATGTTTACTAATAGGATGATAGTATCATCCTATAATTTTCTATATTAAAAATTGAGTATTTACTCATTTCTATTAATATGTTACTAAGTAGGACCGAAATAAAATTTTATCTGTAGAACCACATTAGCGACAGAATCAGCAACAACGCTGGGATCATCCGGTGAGAAGCAAACCTGCCTCCAAGAGTAGGATGCAAAAAAAGATCGCATCCCGTCCCAATCTGCTGATCTATAATGCCAAACACGGCGGCAACCTGTAGTACGCAACCGCGACGATAATTAATTTATTGCTTTCAAAATTTTTATTTTCAATTTTTTTTTTGCGCCCGAAGCAAATATGGGCAACCCTCCGGAAAGCGGGGGGAGGGAGGTTGAGAATGCTCATAGCATACCACGCAGCCGGCTGCGTGGTTATGTGGAGACTTTTACCCACTAAACTGGTACAGCAGTTGATTTTTATATATATATTGAAGATTGGTCCATAATCTTTAAAGAAATATGAGATGAAACAAGCTGTAATTTTATATTACTATGTGATAGGACTTCTTTTCCTATCTAGTCTCGAGAACTACCAGAAAACTGCTGTGTTCTGGTCTTGAGACTAGCTGGACCTCCAGACTAGGATATAGAGTGTAAGTATAATTACAGCTTGTGAAGCATTTCATCTTAGTCCTCGGAGCTACAACTGTTGCCTTCTGTATTTGATGTTGGTTACAGATGTTCGAATTTGGATAATGTTTTCTTATTACATTAAGAGATAGGAAGGTCTTTATATTTATTTCTTTAAAAAAATCCCATAATAACTCTTAGGGTCCTCTATTGTAAAAATCTCTTATGACTAGTATTTACAGTGTAATGTAACAGATTCTCCAAGTGTTTCTATAAGTTCCTTTTATCATCTGACAACAAGATGTAAGGCAGGTTTCCATCGTGTTAGTGTGGATACCAAATTTTTTAATGAAGCATGATATGTCATCATTTATACAATATCAAATTGGAATATTTTTTCTGCATTAGTTTGGGGCAAACAAATTCTTTTTCAGTTTACCACAAGATTTTGTAATATAAAATAATAATATTCATATTCTAATTAAAAAAAAAACAGTACCTACAGTGGTGGTTCGTATAGAAGAATTATAAGTTTTTATATTTGTCTTTATGTATTATTTGTCAATAACATCATCATTTATTTTGTAGAACCTTTTGGGAATTGGCTTAACGATCTGACTAGAGATCTCTAAGCCGTATACGAACGCGACCCTCCTTGACAGAAAGGAGGGCGCAATTATTTTCAAAATCACTCTGAACGTATTATACGGCAATTTATTGTACCCTGTAGCTACTCGAGCGCTGTTGTGGAGAGTTTTTGAACTGTTATTTACTGCTTACGGATGGATACATTTTCAAGTAATCCCTTATGGGAGATTGTGCTCCTTACCTCTATACTCCATAGTTAGGAGGTTATTTATGTGACAGAGAGTTTTTGGCGGGAACTTGGCGGTCGACGGATTGTAGCTCCTGTTTTATCAAGTTTTATTAAGTGGATTTTAATTCGTAAAAGTGATGTGATTTTGTGAATTAAGTGTCTGCGCGTGTATAGATCAAAATAACTTGAGGTTTTATATATTGATGTTGATATATACGTCAAGTTATTTTGATCGCTTAGACGCTTTATGAACTTGAGTAACTATCGTCATCAACTATCCGCTGGGTTAAGCTGTTGTCAAAATCTCCCAAAACTTCAAAATGTGGTGTATCAGTATATTGTGAAGAAAAAAAATCTATAAAAATGAAGATCCCGAAAGGATACGCTCAGAAGAGCTAGAACCCAGAGCCGTAAAGCCAGTTAAATAAAAAAAATATGTGACTGACCGTAGACAGAGTAATGACAGACCTTGGGACCAAAAAAAAAACAAAATCTTGTAGAGACTAGAGATTAGCTTGTAATTTGTATAGACTACGGCCTACGCCCAAATTAAAGACTAAACGAACGTAACGTACATGTTATAGCATTAAACATAAGGTATAGTATTAGTGTTCTGTGATTAAACAAGGCCAAAGCTATTGTTGCACAAACCATAATTCTGAAGTCTTAACGTGATTGGCGTAACGTAACAGTGGCTTAAAAGTTAAAATGAACGTTATAACCACGTAAATCAGTTACTCTACTATAAGCACCTAAACAAATATTGTTTGTTATTGATCAGGCACTTGTCTGCTCGTACAAGAAATCAAAACCAAGATAAATCATCATAGTTAATTCTTGTAATAAGGTAAGATACTAATGTAAATTACCAATTAAGAAGATTTGAATATTCATGATTGATTTTAGTTGCAAAACAAAAATAGAAAACGTTTTGGAAACTTATTGTGTAAAGGGTAGATAAAGGCCTAACCACTAATTATTATATTTTATTTCATGTTTTACAGTATGTATTTAATTTAATATTATTTTGTCATAATGTTTATAGAATTAAGGAAATTGTAATAAGAAACCAAAACTTTAATTCTCAAATTAGTAAGACCTTTAAATGTAATAAAACTTTATGAATACATTTTGAGGAAGAGCTTTAGATTAACTATGTCTATCTATCTAGTTATGCCAAGAAAAAACTACTTTGTTTTTAAATTGATTGGCAATAAAATTATTATATAATATCAAATACTTATTTTTACTAAATACTTCAAAATGATTTTAACTACTGGTCTTGGTGATAATTATTTTAACCAACATAATATATCAGTTTAAATATGTTTACCAATATCTGTTTCAGTCAAATTCCTTTTGTTTAAACATTTTTGACTGTAATTATAACTCAGAATTAGATTTGACCGGGAAATAGTTTTAACATTAATATATTATATTTTATTACTAATGCAACATGAGTTGTTTCTAATTTTAATTGCATAGTGCAAAACGTAGTTGTTTCATAAAAGCCCTACAAAACTTGAAACAAAACACATGTCAAATATATATACTTAATGTAATTTTGTTCTTAATTTTTTTTAAACTGTCTTTCTGAACAATGAAAATTTGTATATAAGTTAAAGAAATAGTTATTTCGAACAGTAGTCATTTGAAAGTGCTAACTTTGGGTAATTAATCTAAAGTTAAAAAGAGCCCATATCCTTAATAAAAATTAATTAAAAGTTAAACATTTTTGTAATATACTAGTGATCTGACCATGCTTTGCATGGGTGATTTCTGGATCATCCAAGGACCCATTCAAACACACACAAATAATTTCATCAAAATTGGTCAAGCCATTTTTGAGTTTAGCGAGACTAATGAACAGCAGTTGATTTTTATATATATATTGAAGATTGGTCCATAATCTTTAAAGAAATATGAGATGAAACAAGCTGTAATTTTATATTACTATGTGATAGGACTTCTTTTCCTATCTAGTCTCGAGAACTACCAGAAAACTGCTGTGTTCTGGTCTTGAGACTAGCTGGACCTCCAGACTAGGATATAGAGTGTAAGTATAATTACAGCTTGTGAAGCATTTCATCTTAGTCCTCGGAGCTACAACTGTTGCCTTCTGTATTTGATGTTGGTTACAGATGTTCGAATTTGGATAATGTTTTCTTATTACATTAAGAGATAGGAAGGTCTTTATATTTATTTCTTTAAAAAAATCCCATAATAACTCTTAGGGTCCTCTATTGTAAAAATCTCTTATGACTAGTATTTACAGTGTAATGTAACAGATTCTCCAAGTGTTTCTATACGTTCCTTTTATCATCTGACAACAAGATGTAAGGCAGGTTTCCATCGTGTTAGTGTGGATACCAAATTTTTTAATGAAGCATGATATGTCATCATTTATACAATATCAAATTGGAATATTTTTTCTGCATTAGTTTGGGGCAAACAAATTCTTTTTCAGTTTACCACAAGATTTTGTAATATAAAATAATAATATTCATATTCTAATTAAAAAAAAAACAGTACCTACAGTGGTGGTTCGTATAGAAGAATTATAAGTTTTTATATTTGTCTTTATGTATTATTTGTCAATAACATCATCATTTATTTTGTAGAATTATTACTAATGTATAATATTACTCTATTCAAAATTTTGATAAAACAAATTCTCAGGTTTTATTTAATATGCATTTTTTGCCTGTCTTTTGTTTCCCACTGAGCAATGCGTGTGAACTTTTTGTCATTGTGTTTCTAGGTGAATGTAATGTAATGTTGTAAGTAACACACCAAACTCACCTCAGACCACTTAGCAGAACTTGAGCAATACAAAACATTCATGTGAGTTTATTATTCATCTCAAGTCCATAACCTTGGTCTTTGTATAAAGAAGTCTAATGTTTTGTTACATAATTTACGGTGTGTACATGTTTGTTATGTATTAAACAATATCGAATAACTGATCTGAAAGAAACATTTTTACACTAATATCAAATATTTTTTTAGTAGTCTAGATAAAAGGTATAATTTGATTTAAGCACCTACAATTTAATTTTGTTTCTCATAATTTGATGGTAAATTATTGTAGATTGAGTACTTTAAACAAAGTTCTTATGTACTTTTTAAAGTACTTTCCTCAAATCATTATAATTAAATTGTAAAAATAATGACAAATAATCTAAAATCTATTATTATATCTCTATTGCAGAATATGAAGAACAGAAGCTTAGCTGGTAATTGTGGCATTGCAGTATTTGTAATTGCCCTTGTGACAGTGGCATTGGCATTTGGTACGCCTAGTTGGATTGTTAGTGATTCAAGAATAAGAGGCAACCAATTGGACAGGTGACTAATTAAATAATTTTGAAGAATCAAAAGCACCTTATCTGTATGATACTAATATTTGTTTAACCATCAGGAGTATTAATACTCAAGCACTAGCTTTATATGATAAGTGGTGAATGCAGCTGTAGATGGTAAAGAGAACTGACATTGCTTAACATAATCTTATTTACTCTTGTCTTGAAGACAGATACATTGTGTTCAGATTAAAGACAGATGTTGGCACATTATTACACTCCATTTCTGTATGCATTACCAAGCAAACCATTTAGTTTGGATGCAAGGTATATCTGCGACAAAGAGGTAGAGAATTAATAAGAATCTGGTTGTTCATGTTGAAGAGAGAAAAGTTAAGTCATGCAGTTCTTGCACACTCCAATGTGTACTGAGACCAGATTGAGGTCTCAATATATTTTGGTCTCTTTACTCTTTATTCATGTTGAGGTTTTTTTTGGATTGTTTCTTTATAAAATTCTGTCTCATCTCCTGGCTTAAATCAAATAAAATGAGGAAATGAGCTGCATTCACCTCAATGCCTTTTAAATACCTATGGGAGTGAAGGATTTTTTATTATTTCGATTTGTCCCAATCATTTATAGGCTTTCTTAAATGTAAGTGTAATATAAATATATCCATGAGTCAAGGTGCAACCTAACATACTTTCAGTGATGTTACTTTATAGATGCTTTCATATTTCTGCAAAATTAATAAGTCATAGTAATTTCAATTTTACCCGAAAGCTCACACTTAGTTTACTAGTTGTAACCAGTGAAACCCAGTTGTAATTACACTTCAGCTTTTAGCTGTTACATATATACCTCTATTTATCGAAAACTATTTTTATATTTTACTAGTTTGAGATATAAACATCAATATAAAAAAATTGTATTTCATTATGACATATTTTCCTAAATCAAATGTAAAATCATCTTTACATGTTACCAAATCATATTGCTTTATATATTTATCTATTTGCCTGTGCCTTTAGAATAAATACATTTTTTATTTACTTCTGTTTTATGTATTAAGTAAAGTAAAGTAACATAATTTCGGATGGAGTTGAGAAACAATTGGTCCCGCTGCTCTAGTGCCTGTTGGTAGCCTTCCCAGTCATCGATTTTTATTTCTCGGACATGCAGGTTTCCTCACGTTTTCCTCCACTGCTGGGCATATAGTAAATAATTTGTATGTAATAATTTGTAATTCTTTGGTTTCATGTAGTTATGAGAATATTTTTTTACAGGTTAGGACTGTGGAGCCATTGCTTTAGATCCCTACCTGATCCTTTAGATCAATATCAAAGACGTTTTTTTGTAGGCTGCCGATGGGTTTATGACCCTTTTACTACTGGTTATGACAGAATTCGTGGATATTTACTTCCTGGTAAGATTAACTAAAAAATTAATTCAATCTATATCTTGGATGATAAGAAATATTTCTCACTCTTAATTTGTGACTAATAAGAAATAGGGTATTACACCATGTAAAAAATATATATTTATAACAGATTTTGTAAAAAGTAAACGAGAAATATTGATTTCTATATATAAAATTGCATTATAAATTTTATATTTCAATTTTATGAATATTTTTTTGTCTGTGCCTGAAATCTGCAAGACGCTGTCCGCCATATTAGAAATGTCGTGATGTCACTGATACCGCCTAATGTTATTAGTGTTTTGTGTCACTGATTAAGAGAACTAGCTAATGTGGTGTATTATTTCGAAATTTTTCATGTTATCATTACTATTATTGAGTTTTATTCCGAATTTTATTTAAAAAGCATCATCGAAGTCGAATTTGTAAAAGCAGAAAGTACTGATCAAATTTAAAAAAAATATATATATATAAAAGTTACAGTGGTTCATTATCACTCTAGGATTTATTTCAAACACTTTGAAAATGGGTGTAATACCCTATTTGCATTGCAAATTAGTTACATTAAGTACAAACAATAAGTTAAGCTATACCAGTAAAAAGTATGTTTCGTGCCATTATCTTAAATTATTATATATCATTGATCACACTTGTAGTATTCCTTAATTCTGAAATCGGAAATCTTTAAAATATACTTGACATGTATTTTATTAAGTGTACGCATGGACAATAAAAATACAGGTTGTTGAATTAAAATATTTACCTCTGAAAAGTATTCTTTTTCTTGAAGTGAAAACTTTTATAGCATTGTTGACTGGATGAAACGAAAAAGCGACACTAAAAAGACATAAACATATAAATGTTTATAGGGTTTAGTGAGAATGACATAGAATTCAGTGGTGTAATCGACAGCAGCCTAACGACAGTGTGCGAACAGCGAACTCAAAATGTTGTGGGTTTGAATCCACAATTCGATTATTTTTAAGCATACTAATAAGTGGTTACAGGGAATTTTAGTAATGTGAATAGCATTGCTAATATTTTTTTAAATAGTGTTTCCTATTATTTCGGATACAATAAGAGATGATACAAAACTTTCATTACTTATTTATGTTTTAAAGTTATATGCAAAAAAATTTTTTTTCAGGTTTCATGATAGCAACCCAGTTCTTTTTCACACTTTGTTTACTCGGAGTACTAATTTCGGCTATATTAGTTCTCGTCTTCTTTTTATGCTGTGGACCAGATCAAAGTAGATTTGTACTAATAATAAAGTCTATAGGATATATCATGTTAGGTTCTGGTATGTAAAGAAGCTTATTAGTTAAAATGATTTAAAATTATGTTTGACACTTGTTATCATTAGTATTACATTTTCAGGAATAAGTGGATGTATTGCTGTTATAGTGTTTGCTTGTTTCGCCAACACAGAGGGATGGATGCCAGGTCATCCTAATAATTACTTTGGTAAGTCCTTCTCGATTATTAGATATTTTGATGAAAGGCAATTTCATATTACATTATGGTCGGTTTACCTGGTTATTACACTGCCCGTTTTGGGTGTGAATCTCATCCCAGATCAACATTTATGCGAAAACACTATTTTCAGGGCTGGATGAACAGTGTTTTTGTCACTGAATTCTATTTCTTTTTACATCGGGCATGTGTATGTAGGATGACACTATTGTGACATATCTTTGGATACATAGCTTCTGATGGCATTCAGAAAGCCTTCCTAGTGTGAGCGTAATGGAAATTATCGTCTAAATTTAACAAGCAGGTGTCGGAAAAATTGAGATAAAAGAAATGCCAAACAGATCTTGTGCATCATGTTGGGTTCTACAATAGTAAAGTATATAGAAATATAGTCGTCGTAGCTCTACTCAGTAAGTGAGTACACCGAACTCGTTCCCCATGAGCACGAGAAGAAGCAATAAAATAAAATTAATGTCAAGTGTAAATTGCAATTTTTAATGCTGACTTACTACGCGTACGATGGTGAATGAAAATGTATAGAAATCGGTCCAAACCCACGTGCGTGTTGTTGAGTGCTTGCTTGCGTGCGTGCGTGCGTGCGCGCGCGCATATTTGTGTGCGTGCGTGCGTGGTGTATGTAAATATTGTGTATAAATCATTGTTATCCTCGTTATCATGGGCTGATGGTGTAATGACGATTTTTTTCTATTGATTACAGGATGGTCATTTGGCCTCGGCGTTGTAGGGTCAGTAGCGTGCCTTGTAACCGCCTCTCTTTTCTTAACAGAAACAAATATTCAAAATAAGAAGCGCAACAGGTTGAAGGAGTCGCAAGCGCGTTTTGAAATGGAGCATGAGTCTAAAGCGTAACATTTGTCGAATCAAATGCCTTCGGGGATAGCCAAGTTGACACTGCAAGCGGTAATAGAAAACTATAACAACCGATTTTTTATAAATTGTGTACTAAAACAATTCAATATACCATGCTTTTATCATCCTACACATCACAACATCCTACATTGTCATCCGAATTTGAGCTATGTTCAAACTTTCAAGTCTAGCTCATCGGGAAGAGCTCGAAATTTGAGTTGCAAGATTCCATCCGGAATAACAGACAGACAGACGGACAAACAAATAAGAAAGTGACTTAATAAAGACATGGTAAAAATTAATTGCATCAACCGTAACACTTGTCGTTGAGATTTGTGATTTCCATTCACTTTAATAGTTCTCTATTGGTGTCAACAATTGTAGAATGTCAACTTGGCCGACCCCGCTTTTTAGAAAGCCAGTAACAGACATAAGAAGTTAACCATATCCTTCATCTTCATTTTAAATTCTCTTTGTCTGTCGTGCATAAACTGCCACATTCCTATTGAAGTTAGATTTTATCTTTGTAAAAATGAAAACATTTGTTCAATCTTCGTATTTCAAATATTTTATTTAAACGAAGTGCAAACTTTCTATGCGGAACGCCACCCTATTCTTAACTTTATAAAATCACATTTATGTACCTATGTTATTTGAAAACGTACAAAGTTGTTGAGGAGGTATGAAAATGAATGAGAATTGTTTTTTATTTATTTAATATCTTTGCAAGTTTGATTTTGGGATATGAATTCTAATTTATATTTTTTACAATTATGATTACTCCGTCCAGCGACATTCCGTCCATTAATGCTTTAATCACCAAATGTGTCTAATATAAGCGTAAGTAGATATAATGATTATTACTAACTGTTATGTGGAAGCTTACATTGAACACTAGCTGATGATGTGATGTGAGATGTGGTTTCCCCCCTTTTCTGGTAGGAAGTATGATGATTTTCACTACTATTTCACGACATATTTTTTTTGTTAATATAAAATTTATTAATTATTCAACCACATCTACCTATCGGGTGGGGTCCAGATTTTGTGATGTTTTGGCACTAACATATATTTTAAATATGAGTTATGTTTGTCTATAAATATAGAATTTGTTAATAACTAGACGACAGCGCCACTTGACTATGAACCAAGGTCTCAACAAAACGAATATATTGAATAAATATGACCTCAATTGGTTACGTTGTTCAGAAACAACATGATTACCAACAATTAAAATAACAAAGACTGTATTCATTTTTGTATATTACTAAAATATGAATCTCTTTTTTAAAAACAAAGTTTTTTACTTGATGCTTTCCAGTTAAAATATTGTAAAAAAGTAGCAATTGTTATATTGTGCCGTATTTTATTTAATTAGGTACTTCTTGTTTCGTGAATAATGTACATTACAAACAAGATAATGATTTGTGTGCCTATTAGCAGGATCTATGTTTTATATTTTATGTAAAATCCTTCAATAATATAAAATTTAGAATTATGTATGTAAGTTAAGTTATGTACTACAGCAGGTAGACATAGGTTACAAATCTTTTAAGGTAAAATTTAATTGTCTTTTTCATTGCCTGATATAACCCTTAAACAATACATACTATATTCAATAGTATTCAAGTGGTAACAGCATGAGCATTTATGCATTTTATATTACTTACTTTTATTGACTTAAAATAAGTTATGTGTTTACATAAGCTTTACTAGAAAATCATTTTGAGGATTTTTAATTTTATCAATTCTATTTAATGCTTTGTTTGGGATTTCCTGTTAAAATTTTCAATTGAACTGACATTTGATACTTGTATTTTTTAGTATTTAATACCGAAAAAAAAAAGCTACCTGTTTAATTTACGAAATACGATGTGTTCATGGGCACAATTTAAATAACAGATCTGATTAAACGAATTCATGTCACCGTTTAGATTTATAATTTTACAATGAATACATATTTTATTTTTAGGTAATTAATATTTTATATTTTAAAAGTAAATAAATGAATTTTATTCCTTTAAGTTGGTTTTTATTGGAATACATACATAAACACACACCTGTCACTCAGAGGTGTAGGCAGAGACTACAGCCTTACATTTGGAACGATCCTGACACACTTCTCTCGCTTCTTCCACATATACCTACGCATACATGCTCATCGGTTAAAGGTGCTCCTAATTTGGCCCATTTTCAATATATCGCCAATTTGGTCGATAAACTTTCGCCTACGACGTTCCTTTCTGACTTCCATTCACTTCTACGACATAAGTTTGCTTTGTCACTCCTCATTCATTCTTTCTACCTATATAATAAGGTACTAGAAATACCTTCTACCGTCTTTTAATGTCAGGACGCGTGTCGCCAGTTCGCAGCTAGCACACATAGACAAACAATAAATACACAATTTCGGCTACACATATTTCTAGCATTCATGCAACAAAGATTAAACTATAAATTATTGCGTTAAGGAATATTTTATAAAACACAAAATCTCTGGAGGCGTAGCCACTTGGTCCAATAATTAACGTGTGCGAAAAACAGTGAATGACATTACGCGCTCACTCTCACTTGGACATAGTGCAGCGCAACGCACGTTTCGATAACTTTCTATTAAGCGTCGTCATCATCCAGGAGTCTCACACTAAGATATAACTAATTAACTGAAAGTGTCTCAGTAATAGACGCTTTTTTATCTAGAGAAAAGACGATAAGTATATCCATTTATCTTTAATATCCGGATCTTTTGGAAACCTGGAATAATAGCATTGTATTAAATAAACAGATGTATAAATAAAATGAATATAACATTACACAAACAGCAAATATATATATATATATATATATATATATATATATATGTATATATATATTTTTTTTTTTTATATATATTAGTTTTAAAGATCTGTAACTCTCTCTCTGTTCTTTGTTATTTTTCAGTTACCCGGCTTCTTACAGATCGAATTTATTCTATTACCATTACAGTACGTAGGCGGTCCCATAATGAATTGGCCTAACTATGAACCAATGAAGGAAATGAAACGAAACCAATTTTATTTTTCAATATAATCACCATGAATACTAACACACTTCTGACATCTGTGAATCAACATCTCTAAACCTTTATAAAAATAATCACATTTTTTATCCTCAAAATGACTGAAGACGGCCGCCTGCAACTCTTCATCGCTTGAAAATTTTCTTCCTCTTAAGTCCCGCTTTAAATTTGGAAATAAATAATAGTCGGACGGGGCCATGTCTGGACTGTAAGGTGGATGTTTAACTTCTGTGAACCCGCATTGACGAACTGCATCCTTCGAAACACCAGCGGTATGAACAGGGGCGTTGTCATGGAACAACAGGACACCTTTAGACGGCTTGCCTCTTCGTTTTTCCTTTATCTTGTCTCGTAATTTATATATTAAAGAAGCATAATATTCGCCGTTCACGACTGTATTACGTTCTTTAAAATCCACCATCAAAATGCCTTGAAAATCCCAAAATATTGTGCACATCAGTTTTTTAGTCGATTGTTGCACCTTTGCCTTTCTAGGGGGCTTTTCACCCTTATAACGCCATTCCATTGACTCGCGCTTGCTTTGTGGATCATAATACAAGATCATAGTTTAATCACCAGTCACTAGCCGCTCGATCACAGTCTTTGGATTTTCGCCACAAAGATCCAAAAACTCCGAAGCGCAGCGCACTCTTTCCTGTCTCTGTACCGCTGAAAGAAGTTTCGGTACCCATCTTGCACTCACTTTTTTCATGTGAAGATGTTCATGGATCGCACGATGAACGGTACTCTTAGAGAGCCCAAGCCTTGCTGCAATTTCTCTAATCTTCAAACGGCGGTCACTCAGAACCTCCTCTTCAATAAGAGCAATCGTTTCGGGAGTGAGCACTTCCACAGGTCGACCGTCGTGGCCAAAGTCTTCGACGGTTTTTCTCCCGAGGCGAAACTCTTTCACCCAATTTTTCACTGTGCTATAGGAGGGGGCAGACTCCTTATACACGCCATCCAATCGTTCTTTTATTTGGGCAGGGGATAAACCTTCTTTAAACAGAAACTTTATGACACTTCGATACTCAGTTTTCGACATTTTGAAAAAATACGCGACTCTCGTTATTCAAATGCCTGTTAAACTAAGACTAAGCATTTCATGTCGATGCATGTTTCTTATATTAAGTGCACGATAAACGTACTATTTAATGCAACACAACATGTAGCGACATGTCGCATTGAACTATATCAGGCCAGTTCATTATGGGACCGCCTGGTAAGTAATAATTACTTATCCTTGCAATATATTAAAATTGCATCAAAGTTTATAAAGTAATTTAAAAATACAAACAAACAGATAATCGATAAAAGGTAAACGGTATAAAATGTTTATAAAGAAAAAAAAAATAGAGGAAGTGTAAATAAATATTTCACGAAAACTCGCATTTCAATCCCATTTCTTTAAAACTAGGTAAGCCAAACATAATAAATTATCCATTTACATATTCAGAGACAATCGTAGTACAGGAGGTGAATAATTTTATTTAAGTATATTTCATTAAAAACAACATTATTTAAAACACTATGTACTTATTTATGAAATGTTATTCCTTTATTTGAAAACTTGCAAGTTGTGGAAGAATCTCCGCAGTTGGATATGCTTCAAAATCCATTTTTATGTCTCTGTGTCCGAAATAACACTGGTTACCGAAAAAAACGCTCGCTAAAAATAAATCCTAGCTAGATCGATTTATTACCCCCGAAACTCTCTGGACACTAAATTTTATGAAAATATTTTATATATTATATATATATATATATATATATATATATATATATATATATATATATATATATATATATATATATATTGCTCGTTTAAAGGTATAAGATATATATAGGGGTCCCCGAAGTCGACGTCATGCTAAAATCGGGTGATAGGTCAAATTAAATTAGTTATAAAAATATTTAAAAAAATCATTGCTGCGTATTTTAA